ATCAGCCTAGCATCAGCCTAGCATCGGCCTATGATATTAGGAAGATATTTTACTGATATTATTAAGCATTCAGTTATTTTATACCCGATTTTATAATGTTTGTTTTTATATAAATCACCTTTGTATCAGCCTATTATATTAAAAAATTTCGACTAGTGTTAGTCAGTTTTTTTAGTTACATTATATAATATAATTTGAGTATCCAGGAGTAATTATTTCATTTATTATTATCAGCAATGAATTCTACTCTGAGGTGTAAAATTTACTATGATAATAATAAGTGAAAGAAGTTACTGGGTTTTTTTCCTAACACTTAAATGATATTTAACTAACTAATTAATCAATTAATTTAAAGTTAAAAAATTTCACCAATTCTAATTTTATCATTATTTATAGGTTGCTTGTGATAATTTGGCAAAAACATCAAGAAAACACACAGAAGTTTTGCTTATGAAGCATTTTTATATCAGAATAAGCATATATACGATGATAAAGATACAGGTCTAGAAGAATTGTATTCTGTATGCTCACGGTTTGTATTTGAAACATATGTTAAACAACAAAGAGATCTTGTTAGGTCTGGAGAGTATGGTATTTTGAAGTGTGATAATAATATATATGAAGTAGTAAAAATTGATGATAAAACATATAAGACATATATAGTACATATAGCAACACCAAGTACTTGTACCTGTTTGTATCCACAATGTACCAAAACTCCATATAAATACATAATTATAGTATACTTACTATATCTGCATATTCGTGTTCCATCAAGTGAGATTTACCAATATTGGCATATGCAACATATTCCAGAACTGGTCAAATTCCCCAACTTGCTATACAGATTTTCAAAAATCTGCCAGAATACCATCACGATAATTTACTAAATCTTATTCAAAACACTTCAAAACAAATTCTTGAGAATGGAAAAGTACCAAAGCTGCAGAAAGAATTGGATACTTCACAGCGAAGCATTTATGAGATGATTAGTATTGATAATGCTATAAATTATGAGCAAATTAAATTTTTAAGGTCAAGCGCAAACGAGGTTATCCTTCTAGTAATAGACATATCCGTGGAGCAGATGAAACTGTGACTAAAAAAGCCAAAAACCTAGGTACTAATAGTACTGCAGTGGCATATTTTAATGGTGTAAAACTTGATCCATATATTTCTCAAAATGCGGTACTTCAGGTATGTATACCAAGTTGTTTTTTTTAATAAGCGGAATAGTAAATTAGTTTATTAAATTAGAAATTATTACCTAAATTAGTATTTTTATTAAATTAATTTATTGAATATACTATCTAAACTAAATTAATTATATATATATTTATTTATTATTATACGTATTTATCTACGTAACATATTTATTATTTATTTTTATAGCTAAGTATTAATATAGAAAAATATTAATATATCTATTATCTATTTATAAGTATTAATATTTACTATATTCGATCTTTAAATAAATGCAAAAGTGCATTATGTGGATGGCAGAAAATAAAATATATTCTGGATAATTGTGTATAAATAGAAATTTATTAATAAGAGATATTGAAGCTGATATTTACCTTTTTGATAAATTTTTAGTTATACATACTAATTATCCAGAATATAATTTATACTATATAGTATAATAATATATTCTATAAAGCAACAGCGAAAATTTCTTTTGTTTTTTTTTTTTTATGAAATTATTAATTAAGTAATTTGGACACATATAATTGCAGGTCTACAATCTAATTGGCAATGGTTATTGTGGTTTTTGGTCCCTATTTGTAGCTATATTTCAAGATGAAGAGAAATGGCAAGAAATTAAGACTGCTATAAAATTTCAATTGACTAAGCAGCAATATATATCCACTAAACTTGGATATGATACCAATCGGCTAATGACTGTGTTATTATAAATTCAACCAAGATACCTACAAGAGTACTGGTTTTATATAGCATTAGATATGTTTAACATACTATTAGCAGTATTTGGGGAGAATTATATATCAAGTTTTCTTTTTTTGCTATTCAATCAGAAATCCAAGTATTGTAAAAAGCCCATTATATTGCATTGGCATAGACACAACCATATAGTATTGGTCAAACTCAAACAAAATAGAAACATACAAGTTCCATCTTTAAATCTCCAGTATCTGCTCACATGTTATCGCTTAGGCTTTTCTGAGGATTGGCATTCTCTTTTTGAATAGATATATGTATCATCTTTTGCTTTGCTTTTTTTGCTAATGTTTTTGTATTTGTAATCTAAATACAATTTATTAGCTATAGCCTAATTAGTTCTTAAATACAGAATCTAGCAAATTTGTATAGTAAGTATCACGAAGGTAATGGTTTACAAAATATTTTGTATACGCTAAAGTTCATATATCTACAAGCAAGAGATGGAATCTAACTGCTGCAAATTACTATCTGTAAATATGAATGTTTAAAATTTTTTCTTTAACTTATATCAATGATTAAAGACAAGCTTTTCATTAAATATATATTTGATATACGAATAATTTAGAGAAAATCAAAAAAAAACTGAAAATATTTTTAAATCTTTACTACATTCTACGATTAGAGTTTCAAAATTGGCCTATTTTAAAAAGAAGAGGAAATTAAAAATCTTTAAAATTGCTAATCAGAAATTAAGTAGGCAAATCTGGTATTGTTTTTTTTTTGATAAATATTGCAAACAAGTAGACGATTATGTAAATAAAATAGATTGATTTTAAATAAAAAAATTTCAACATAGCTTAAATGGTTTGTTCTGATTTGACTTTGACTTTAATTAAAAATTAAAAATCTTTGTTAAATAAAATTATGATTGAAATAGTTAACAATACAAAGAATCAAAATTAGAACTGGCAATAAAAAAACTTAAAGTATATGAAATTGATATACGAAAATTATTGTCAAAATTTGATTAACCAAAAAATGCTGCAATTTTATTGGTCAAAAAATTTTGATGTATGTAAAGTTACATGAAATTGATGTACGCAAATCATTTTTTTCTATATTTATTAAATAAATATAATCAGCTTTATTTAGTGGCACACCCTGTAAAGAATTGTAAATACAACAACAAAAAAAAATTCAATTTTATAATTATATGGTAATTTGGTATAAAATTTCTATTGGCTCTTAAGGGTAGAGGGCATATCGATCATTTTTTATATGATATTTGTGACACAACGTGATTTTTGCAAAAAATAGAAATATGCTACTAATTAAACTTTTTACTGTTGTAATTAATTTTTATAAAATTTTTATAGTAAATAAATTAGAATATGTTCTTTATAGTAGTATAAATTTTAATAGCTAAAATATTAAAAAAAATATACTTGTATATATTGCAAAGTTTTCCGGAGTGCCTCCAAATTTTTTGGGGTTATACAAAATTATTAATTTTGATTGGTTAATATTATATGATTATCATATGACAAAAAATAATACTAAATCTTTAAATATACTTATCTCAATAAATATTTAACCAATTTTAATAATTTCACTACTATTAGAATCAGAAGAACCTATTTTACAACTTTTATTTAATTTTTAAAAACACATTAATTAATAAAATCTTTTTTATTTTCTAAAGAAAAAAAATTTACTACTAAGATCTAATATTTTTTTTGTGAAAAGTTTACCTTGGATGAACGCCAGATTTACTAAGTAGAGTTTAAACAAATATTAGCACATAAGATCCAATAGACGTTTAAATTTTGGCTTCATGAAAAACATACTTGACTAGATCTCAAATATCTGTTGAAAATAAGCCTTCCACACAACTCACGTCAGAACATTAAAAGCTTTTGGTAAAATGAAAACAATTAGCAAAGGATTTCAATGGCTTATTACATAAAAAGGGTCTCATAAATCAAGTTTTCTTTCTAAAAATAAAATTTCTTAAATATTTTGGTAATTTTATCAAATCTTTTTATATTACAGTAATCTCCGGGTAAAATACTTATAAAACCGATCAGTAGCCAGGCCGCATGCTACAAATAAGGAATGTAAATGCACTCCAGTTTGCAATAAAGGTTCTTTGCCGCACAACATACCCAGGTGTTTGAGTTTTTTGGTTAGGCATTTTGTTTTAGACCTGGGTTTTTTTAATCAGTACTGTATGATATACTTCTAGTTCGCGATTGAAGTCTGCCACCGTACAACGTACCCAGGTATTCTGCGAGTTTTTGTAGATATTTTTGTTTCAAACCTGGGTCTTGTATGGTATGAGTTTTTGACTTTTTTGAAAAAAGAGAACATGAGTTTTAATAGAATTCTTTTTTATTTTTAGTTCAGAATAAATAAAAAAAAGTGAATTTAAAGGCAGAAGTATATTTCGTGCATAAAAATTTATGTTTGGCAATTTTATTTTTTAGGTATATAAGAAAATATTTATTCAATAATTAAATATTTTATAATTAATATTACATATATATTTATTCATGCTAACTCAAATCTCGGCTTTTTGCTTAAAAGCAAGAGTATACGAACTTATCCAATTTTGAATTGTGTTAATTTTTGAAACATCTTCCTTTTCTATTTCACAAATTTCAACGTATTTCGATAGTTCGTCGTGCATAGCTTGTGCACTCATTTTTTTCTCATTTTGTCTGTTTCCTCTTAAAAAGAAACGTTCTAACATGGCTTTTATATATTTTTTTATTCTATTTCCTTCTCTATTGCCCAATTTTTGGCTGCCTTTTAGTGCCTACCCCTTATGTAATGGAAATTCTTTATTTATTATACTGAAGAGTCGATTAGCAAATAAAATAAATATTCATTAGATTTCTTACATCTACATACCTTAGAATCTCGACTATGACCACAGGAACTAATAATTGATTTGGATATTAAATAAAAGGCAGAAAACATAGCATAGATGTATGTAAGTTATTGTTACTTACTATTATCTATTTTATTTTTTATTTCTTTATCTTGATCCAAGCCAATGTGATCTTTTAGTTTTTAAATAATTAGAACTTATTAACATGTAAAAATTAATATTATATAGATACATTAATATCTTCTTCTTCTTTTTCAACTAAAGTAAGTTATGTATACTAATTTAGTTTGAATTTGAGAATTTGGTTAAACAATAATATAACACTTACTAAATTCCGTATTGATTGGAATTGTCTATGTAGATTCCAGTATGGTATGCACCAATTGAGTTGGTTGGGCCGTTGAAGTAGAATATTCCAGAGTTGATTTAAATATGCGGAGGAAAAATTATTCCACTCTCAAATATGAGGCAATGAATGTGCACGAATATACCCACTATATTTACCTTTCACAGGCCATTCCCAAAAAAATAATTTGAAATTCCTTTAATTGTTTTGATTTTGATTTTTGATTTTTTTGATTTTATATTTTCACTAATATTTTCTTCTGCAGCAATATAATCATCACGATTTGGTTCTATATTTACTATAGAAGTTCCTGCCAAACTTTTAACTACCTTACAAATATCATCACCCGTTTCTATATTGTATCCAATTCTTAAATATCGTTTTATAGCATGTGTTATCTTTAAAAGGTGAATATGTTAGATTATATAATTGAAGGCAGAGGTGCCAAACAAATATTATCAAGTATTTCTATTAACTTGAGTTTATACTAACCACTGCATGATATGAATCAATAGTTGTTTTGCCTTACCAGGCTCTAGAAACAACCAGCTTCGAACTTCAATATTATACCATTCGTACCAGTGCCCAACTATAGCCATTAATTCAGAGTTATGATAATAAGGCCCATTGTCAGATATTATCTTTATCCATTTGGGCTTTCTATCCAATTTTTCAAAAACAACAACAAATGATGATGCTGTAAACCAAGCATCTTGCTTGGTATCCATTGACCAGTAGTCAAATGCTTGAATATCTATTTCAGTTTCATCATTTTTAGTGAAAACTAAAATAGTATGTAAAGTCTAGCCACGTTTCCCAAAAAAATCCCCTTTTGGTTCGCGTGCAGTTTGAGGTAATATACGCATTTTATAATCCGCAATAAAAAGTGCACCATCGAGATCAAGCTCAGCTAATGTCGCTTTGAATTGGACATTCAAATACACTTTTCGCGTTTGATGAGAAAGGTAATATAAGTGTTCTTTGTACTCTGTTATTTGATCTCTGTACTCTTCTACTTGTTTAGGATTATCCAAAGGTGCTGATTCATGTATAAAGTCCAGAAAATTGAACAATTGATCGCAATCAGGGCACCTTGTTTTGTGGCTATTAATACATTCACCAAATGCATAAGATAAGCAGTGGGAAATACACAGATCATGCTTGATTTTACCATCTGCTTTAACTTTCAATTCTTTTTCATAACTCCGTTTCATGTGTCGCTTTAGTTTTTTAAGACATTCTAGAAGCAGGGACTAATAAGACCATGTTATAAGGTAATTATGTATTAGAAATGATATAATTATTATTATTATTTCAAACTTAACATTAACATATAAACTGACTATATCATTATTATGTTTAAAATGATTCCGTATAGAGATTTTAAAATTATTGAAAGTCTCAAACCCATAATCATTACAGGTTATATATAGCCCACCAAGGTCTTCATGGTACTTGAGGTTGGTACAATTATTTAGTCGCGCCATGAAAGCAGTTCTTTTTATGCCATTTGGATAAGTTTCATTAAACTTATCCCATAAATTGCTCTTTTGGTCACGTAAATATAGAATCAGCAATCCTGTTACTGAATCTACATGGTATGAGCTCATTGTAACATTGTCTCTGTCTTGAAAAAATGACAAGAACTGATTTTCTCTAACATTAGACAATCATTAGACGGTACTTTTAGGTTTTTGCAAGGGTGGTGCACCTGGGCCATAAAGTCGAGCATGCTTCCTGGCTTTATTTATGGTTTCCAACCCAACCTAATAGCAAAAATATTATGTTATAATTAATAACTATAAAAGACCATCAAATCTGTAATTGTCGAAATCTACAGCTTTGATGTAAAAAGTCAAAGTATTGATACTAGAGATGTTACTAGCTCGTTCGGCTCTATTCATTAATCAGGTTTTTATAATAGTTAAATATACAAGCCGGATCAAGCCGATAATATTCCTAGTTGATACATAAATTACATTAATAGAAAACCCGTCTAGTTTCAAAAAATTCGATACGTCTAAGATTTCAAATTGTGTTGAATTTAAAAATTTGTATAAAGCTCAAATCTTTAAAATATTCGATTTTTAAATGAAAAAGAGTTTGCTAAACTATTGTATATAATTACTTATACCCAATTCTTTTATAAGGATATGGTATTTAAACTTTAGAGCAATTATTGAAAAGATACGAATTTTACTATCTGGCCCTTTCTTGTTCGAAATCATTGCATCCTTAAAGCTATCCCAAAATTTTGTATCTTGCGAATTTGGTTGCGGAACTGGTGCAGGTGTTGATATATCTTTATCTAATTGTATAATGTTACTTTCATTAAGGTTTTTAAATAATTCTCTATCAGCAGTAGGGTTTAGTACTTTGCTCCAGAATTCTAAGATCCTTTTTTTGAAAAAGGCGTCACATTATTACAACTACAGGCAACAAACATCGCTCATCATGCTCGTAGTTCTTTATCATGAAATTGATATTCAGGTGGGTAAATGCTTTGCAACATAAGCGGAAACTGAATAACGGAGCTATTTTGCTTATACCAATTAAGAAAAAGGCATGGCCAATTAATCATCATATTGGGAATCTTGCGAGATTTTATATGATGAGAAAATATTAATTCTAGCAATTGTGAATTCTTCCAATCACTAGCAGTACACATTGGTGATTCATTTCTCAATTTATTTAGATACTCATGAACCGATGCATCCATAATTCCAAAAAGGTATGATCCAGTATATTTTTGAAGAATCTCTACATTTTTCCAAACATTATCTGGGGTTTTTTCTTTAACTGTTTTAACACATACTGATTCTAAATAAATTTCTAAAATGTATTCACTTTCTTCAATTGTTAATACAAAAAGATGCTGTTTATTATGATATTGTATAGTAAAGGAAGAAACAAATCCGGAACTAACCCCATGAAATCTATTTTCCTCCAGGTCACCTACGCTAATTATTAATACAGGAAATCTTTCTATACAAACGAATACAGGAAAAAGTATTATATCGGTGATTAATTGTTGGGTAATATTTATATTGTTGAATCCTATTGCTTCAGTGCCAGAGTATGCTGTTTTTGTTTTAAAAATTTCTTGATAACATGTATTAATTGCTATTGATGGATTTGATTTAATTTCCGTTATAGTTGTTTCACAAGTACATTGGAAACCCGACTTTAGTGGATTAACTTTATTAGGTAAAACCGTAATAATGAAGTCTTTATTATTAAGTTCACACGAAATGCACATGTGTAAACAATAAGATACTACAAGATCTTTTATTCTGATCCTATTTCAATACTAATTGTCTCCCACCAGGTTCTAGCCCAAATTCCATAATGTAGTGGGCTTATAGTGCCTACATACAAGATTTTTGAAGAAGTTTGTCATTTTTTGGGCATTATTGTTAATACAGATTGTTTTTTATTTTATTTTTTATTGTTATTTATTTTTTTATTTTTTTGTTGTGAAAATTCAAATTTTATCAAGGTAAATTCGATTATCTTTATACTATTTTTTCATATCGTGATTATTAATTCACATACAAAAATTTTTTATTGAAATCAATAATTTTCTTTTTCTTATTCCAAGAATCGTGGATAACAGCTTCGAATCACTTTACATCAACAATCAACCTAAGTATGGAATTAGAAGATTTGTATATACAACTTATTAAAGCATAATGCGATAAACGAATTTCAGTGACGATCTTAGCTTAACCCCAAGTATGGAATTAATGGATTTGTATGTACAACTAAATTAAAATATGGAATAATAACAACTTGTATACAGTAAGCAGAATAATGTCTGAGGTGATTCATTACTTCAGCAATTGATCTAGGTATAGAAGGAACGAATTTGTATTCACAACTTAACTAAGACATGGTGTGATAACGACTACATAAATAGAATAATTTGATTACTAACCTAATATATTGATTTGTATATATAATTAGATAAATGACTGAGAAAGGTGATCCAGGTATGAAATTGGCAGATCTGTATAAAAAACTAAATTAGATTGTGACTGCATAAGTAGAATAATGTCTGAAGTGATCCATTATTCTAGCAATTGACCTAGCATGGAATTAACGAATTTGTATTTACAACTTAATTAAGATGTAATGCTAACGACTACATAAGTAGAATAATTTAATTACTCCAGCAGTTAGCTAATGTAATATGTTAGTTTGCATACATAATTAGAATATGGCATGATAAATAATCACGAAAGGATAGTCTATTGCTCCAGGTATGAGAATTGGCGGATTTGTTTACAGAACATGGTGTGGTAACTTCTGCATGATAGATAAAATAACTTTTATTTCAAGACAACCTATTTCAACGGCTAACGTAAGCATGGAATCGCGACTATCAATAGCGATTACCAAATAAAGAATTCTAGAATTATGAGACTAGCTAAATATAGATACCATTAAGAAAAATAAAAATTAAATCTATAGGAGTGTTATTGGCTTTAAATTAAAGGTGTGATAATATTATCAAAGTTATATTTATAATATACTTATCATCTTATTTGTAATAGGCAAATAATTTGGATAGATTATATAGGCCTGCTAAAAACTTGAAGTATATTTTCATGGGTTAATCAATACTATCCAAATATCTGGTTCAGAAAGTGATCGAACACTTGCTTAATTGTTTGTTTATTGGGGATAAGATGAACAACGAAATTGGATAAACAAAGATAAGACTTATTTTTGAGCAAACTGAATTTTTCTCTTTTACATTTCTATTTATATATTTGTATCATTTATTTATTACTATATTGTTATGCAATAATTATTACTTATTAATTATTACAATTATTAATCACGATCAATTTCATTATATTACCATCATGTACGTGACATATATACGGTATTAACAACTACAAATTCTTTTGAGTAATAGCATTATTAGGTTTGATTGTGTTTTGTTTTTTTTTTTAATGTTAAAGGTGAGACCATGCTCTTATCTTTATTAAACTTAACAAAAACTTTTTACATAATTGGAAATGGTTTTATATCTTAAGTCTAGTGCTAAGAATAAGAACTCATACTAACTAAAAAAGTCAAATAGAGAAGCCTAGTTTTTTATCTGCAGCCTAAATCTACCAGAGTGGCCAAGGCTCACCTAGATTTGAGATAGATTAAAAATATGTGAAGGGTATGTGCGGAATTGGATCCAGTTAGAATACCAAGATGATAGTTTTGAAAGAGATGTTTGTAAAGTACTATTAGAGTTAGTTATTGTAGGAGGTATATTAGTTGTAGAATTAGGTGATGAAGTTGCTTGTGATTGTAAAGGTTGAGGTTGAGGTCTAGAGGCATAGTAGGGAATCTATATGTTTGTGTATAATTGTTTGTTGATATCAATTCTGTTTTTTATATTGTTTTAAATTACAAGTTTGAATTAAAAATTTTATTAATATAAGCTATGTAGATGAATATCTATTTTTTTTTTTTCCTTTATTGATAACATGTACTGAAGATTGGCCAGGCTTTGTCAAAACCCCAATTCGGAGTCACCTGGCTCTTTAGGCTGGCTTTCCTTGTGGGACACCCAACCTAGTTATCTCACTGATTATTGGCCACAATACTCCACACACAGTATTTGCATTTAAAGATATTATATAACCTCAGGCTTCAGCTATCCTATTGCTAAAGTACATGTCTCACCTATGTATTCACCCAGACTTCGGTAACTTTACGCTATAGATTGACCTATGCACTTAGGGTTAGAGCTAACTATTAAACCTTTACAACTAACTTGTACAAGTACTGATTTAGTATATATATTACTATATATCCCGGGTCCCTCCCCCCACGGTATTGCAGTTCCCAGATCCATTACCTTCCTAATTAGTTGCTTATTACCTACTTCTTGCCCTTATTAGGTTCACAGCAACCCTGGTACCCATATTCAGACCCGGATTCTTTATCGGTCTCTCCCTTACTTCCAGCCGGCAACCCAGAAGGGTTGGTCTGCCCAGGCTTTAGGTACCTGAAGGATGCCCTCCCCTTGGTACATACTTTCGAAGTGTATATCTATTTCCTCTGGTGCGACAGAACCCGGTGATTCGGCTAGTGTGTCCTCTGCCATTAGGACCTGGTTATTCAGTTCTCCAATCTCAGGCCTCAGTTCGAATTCAGCCTTCTTGTGATACCATCAAAGATCACCACTACTTCCTAACTCAGAACTTCCCAAATGGGTTTTTAGTTATGCCGGTTCCTCGGATTTATTGTGCTATTGCTCCCATTACTAGATGGTGTGACCGAAGTTACAGATTAGATCCAACTGATAAGCATAGCCGTCAACTGAACACAAGCCTATTTTTCAAATATCATCATCTGTGGGATTTGAACTCTAGACCTGCCACTTGGAGAGGGTGACGACTAGACCACTACACTAAGTTGCTACACCTGATGAATATCTATGATCTAGTTTAAATATGCTAATAAAGCCTGCGGGTCGATAGCGTAGTGGTTGTGCTCCCAGGTTAGCATCCTCAAGGTCGCTGGTTCAAATCCATGCGGTAGATAAAAAGGAATTCATGCCTGGAGAGGTTATGCAAATAAGACTATACAAAAAAAGATTGCCAAAAATGGCTTATAGATCAGTTTCGGTGAAATCCCCTAGTAGTATATAGGTCTCTGGTTAAACCCAGTGGTATAAATAAATAAGAATCATATCCGGTTAAAATCCCCTGGTCGAGAATGGGTCTCTGGCAAAACCCGGTGTTACAAAATTAAATCCGGTAAAATCTCCCCGGTCACAGATAGGGTTTTCGATAAAGGAAATAGTCTAGCTATCGGTAGTGCTTGAAGAAGAAAAAAGGCTTGAGTGCTATTTACAGGATGCACCTGGAATACTGTGAAGTAAGGATAACATGAGCCTCAAGTTGAGTTATCCGAATAAGAAAGGCTCAGGCAGGGAAGGGGTCTCCTTTGAGTTGGGGGATCCCTATTGGGATTTATCCTAAATGCAGAGGTGGCAACCATACCATACGGTAAGCTAGAAGGTGGAATAAAGGAGGTCCCTTGAAGTGTAGAGTACGGAGTAAAGTAGTACAAATAGCTAGATTGGGCTAAATATAAAATTATCAATGTAATAGATATAGTTGAATATAACAATGTATAAGATATTAATAAAAGAGAAGGCCATTTCGCCAAAAAAAAAATATATATATGCTAATAATAAATAATATTCATACTAAATAAATACAAACCTAATAATAATACATGGTAAGTATAGTATTTATCTTACAACTCTTTCTGATGATCATCTGTACCAAAAAATCCAAACACATTTTTTGTAAAAACACAATAGCTTTTAGTAAAACATGGAGAGCATACTAGTTGCTATAAGTTGACAGTTGTTATTTAGAGGTAGTTCTCATACGCTACCTGCTAACTTCTTTAAAGTTTATTACTCACCGCATGCATGGCACTTGTCGTTTAGAAGTAGTTCTCATATGCTACTTGCCGACAAGTCCAGAGTTTATTACTCACCAAAAAAAGAGTATAGGTGCCCCACCCTTTTCCTAGAAGAAGAGTTTTGACTTCCTTGGGTGCAAGTGGTCTTTTCCTAGGTGTTTTTTGCTTGGCCGGTTTTTCTTCAAAATTTTTGACAAAAAGTAGGCAATTTGGCTTACCCCCTCCAAAAGATCGGCATTGTTTACCTCCTAAATCCAGAAGTACCTAGGAATGCAACCACGTGTCTTGTTTATCAGTGGATATGTGACACAACGTAGTTTATAGATACAGGATCTACATGTGACTGGGATCAGATAATAATTTGTTAGATTTTGTAGTCGAGATATACAAACGTTGCAGTTGTTATAAAATTTTTTCTTAAACCTGGCACGAGTTATAATAGTGTATTTTCCTTTTTTTTCCAATTCATTTGTGCTGCTTTTTGATAGAGGTAGTTTCTTCTTTGTTGGCCCTTGGGCTTTTCTCTTTGATTTTCTTTTTTTACATTTCATTGTACCACTTTTATTTTGTCCTTTAAAATTCCCCCTTTGTTCTATTTGTTTTTTTTAGGTAGTAGATTTTTTGTTTTGTTTTCTTGGTATTATCGGTGGTTTTGTATTGGATATAAGATCATCACTTTCTTTTGCTTTTGGTAAAGAAAGAGAATATAAAGGGAAAAGCTTTAATAGGCTGACAAAGTTTATCTAACTTGTATACAGGTTAGTGCGACATGTCACATTTGGGCACATTAATTGCAGCCAAATGATGCAATCGCTAAACACTATTTATGGTTATGAATAATAATGTATTGTTCGAAAGAGTTCAACTCTCACCTAAATATAGTCTTAAATAAATTGAGCACTGGCAAGACTGTCAAAGAATTATAAAAAAAAAATAATAATATATATATATATATATATATATAGTAAGTATCCATGAACTTGAATATGTTGTTCTAAATTTATCAATTAACAGTCATGGGACATTTCTCCCTTAAACTAGCTCAAATGTAATTACTTATAAATCAAATGAGATGACTCACCTCAATTTATATGTAAATTTTGGCAAAAAAACACTTTTCTTTAATTTATTCAAGAAAGTAAATATAAAACATAATTTTAAAAATAAGATTTATATTCTTTAGTATTTTTTAAATTCTTTTACAAAATTACAAGTTTATATGTTAAATAGTTAGAGGAAGATCTTGAGCTAAAGTTCTTTAATTTTTTCTTTATTTTCTATATACTCTTTAGGTCAAATGAGTGACTCACCCCAATTAATAATATGATTGGTTAAATAATCTTTAAAGATTGAAGAAGATTCTACTAAGTAAAGGTCTCTTCTAGTTTTAAGTAAAGTTGTAGAGGAGGTTCTTCTGATTCTAATGGTGGTTAGATCATTAAAATTGGCTTGTGGATTCCGAGATACTTGGGGTCAAAAAAAACACAATTCACTGTTACACAAAGTATTGTACTTTGTGTACCAGTGAATTTGCAGATCCTTGTGTTTTTTCTTTGACTCCAAGTATCTTGGGATCCACCAAGCCAATTTTAATGATCTAACCACCATTAGAATCAGAAATAAAAAATATTATTATTATATATATTATTATGTTTTTATTATGCTTTAAAAACATAATAATTACTAGTGATAATTTAATAATAATAATATAAACAATACATATTAAAACTATTTTAATAATATT